AAATCAAATGCCACCTCCCCCAATTAGTGAGAAAAAAACCTTTTAATTAGCATTTGATTTGAACCTAATCGTTTCATAACGTCATTAGTTTTAACATTGAATCGGTCCTTACTCATTAATATTTTAGTTCAAGACAACATTAAGGCAAATTCGACGTTAGATCAGTTGGTAGAGCGGAGTATTGTAGTGGGTTCAAAACCTATTAGCCATCCTTAGCTCGCTGGTTTGAATCCGGCCGGTCGGAATGTTTTTTTTCACAAATAAAATAGGCTAACTGATTTTTTAAGTGACAAAAGAAACTGCATAGGATAATAATATTTTCCTTGATTTAGTTATCTAGTAGCAACAATATGCGTTCACTAATTAAAACCAATTTCTCTCCATTCTATTATGATATTTCAATCCCATGCTAGACACAGCGGCAGCCGGCAGGGTTAGAAATATTTTTTACGAGGAGTAAAAGAAATCTAGACATAGAAAATCATGTGTTTTTATATTAATTAAAAAGTCAATGAAAAGAAATTTTTAATAAAAAATTATTTTAAATTACAATTTGTTAACCTTTAATGATAAATTAATATTAATTGATGGTATAGTATTATATATATGACATCAATTGAAAGATAAAATAAATGGACAATGATTGGTGTACACCCGGATCCAACACCCGGGTGTGCACCCCCCACATAAAAAAAATAAAAAATTGGACCAAGTGATGGGTATTTTTTTTTTATATGATGTGTGCACACCCGGGTGTTGGATCCGGGTGTGCACACATCATTTTCCAAAATAAATATATGTTGAATAGAAGAATACAAATCAACAAATAATAATAATAATAATAATAAAAAAAGGGTACTAATGAACAACTATTTTGTAAAAAAATTGATATTGAACAATTTGGTATTCAATTAATTTTTATTTTTTCTCATATTCTATTTTATCTTTATTTTCCTCATCTTTCTCATAATAACTAATTTTTGAAAAAATAAGGGTTAAAAAATTATTAAAATGTATGAAATAAACAAGGATTGAAATAATAAAACTATTACTTAATCAACCAAAGTTTTTATTTCTTAAAAGTTTAGGGGGGCCCATAATCCTCAAGCCCGCCAGTGGCTAGAAATGTCATAAACTGTCTCAAATTATCCGTCAAACAGAAAATAAATCCTACTGCTGCCAACCATTTCTCAAGTCAGTGAATCCAGAGCCTTCTTTCCCCTAATTGTTAGCAACGTTTCCTTGAAGGAGATCATCGCGAATCTGTGCTGATATGTCCTTCACCGCATCAGGACCATGCAGGAGGAAGACATGTGAAGCCTTTGAGGATGTACCAATCTCCTTCATGGTTTCAAAATATTGAGTCACAAGCTCCATGTCCATCACATCCTTGCCAGTTGCTCCAGGAACACGGTCGGTGAAGGCACGCACGCTGTCCCTCAATCCGTCAACAATTTCCTTGCGCTGACGAGCAATGCCGACCCCTGACAGGTACTTAGACTCAGCATCTCCTTTAGCTTGTTCGATCTGTAGTTCTATATCTGCTTTAACCTTCAACGCCTTTATAGCAGCTGTAAACAGTCAAGACGAGAGGAGAAAATCAATCAATACTTAAAATATGGTATG